ACTTACTCCCATCCCACCATCAGCTAGAATACAGAAAATACAAAATCATATGTATTTTAAATCAAAAAAATAAATTTTTCAATTTCTATACCTAAAAGAAATTCTTTTGCTGAACTTTTTTTTGATTTAACAAATCCAAATAGAGCACCAATTACGGCTGATGATAGAAGTAATGATATAAGAATAACATAATCAACAATACTCAGTGTACGTAATACCATTTTATTTTAAAAAAGTAAAATTAATTTAACAAAAAATATCTTGCTATTCTTTGTTGTTGATGAGTATTGTAATACCAACGAAGAAAGAGCAAAAACAATAATACTGATTTAAATATATAGGTTTAGCACAAAGAGATAAAGAAGCAAGACACCTTTGTTTTCTATCGAACGACAGGCAATGAATAGATTATACGATAATATGTCACAATGATAATAGTGAACTTTACTTATTTTTTACATTTTATACAAAACATTTACAAATCGAAAACATAAACATTCATATAGAAGAGTAAAGATTTAATCATTACTATAAACAGATAAGAAAAAATATCATAAAAATAAATTGTTCTATCATGTAATTTATTTGTTATATAAAAATAATAGAAATTATTAAATGCCAATGAAGTTACTTTCAATTTTCACTAGGGATTATAATACAAATTGATAATTTAGATGTACTATAGGAATAGATTGTATTCATATTAAGTGAGATTATCAGATTCTTGTGTCAATTCATAACATTTTCTGGCCAGTTTTCTATAGGACATAACGTTTTTCCCTGTGGATTCCACCGCAAAGTTTACAGATCTGATGTTTTTTTGCCACTAAATAAACGAATATTCCAATTTTAATAATAAATCTACTGACGATAGTTTCTGAGTTTGTCAGTTTTTTATTATTTACATATTACTTTATAATCAGAGCAATTGAGTTGACAAGTTAAAGATTTGAAGTCACCATTACGAACAATTTATCCGATTACATTCGATCTTTATGATTTTTCTGTCTCTCGTTTATATTTTGAATCCAGTATAGAATGTCTCTATAATCTGTTCTTTTATATCCACGATTGAGAAACTTATTCGTAAAAATCTTTCAAACTAAATTCATATATATCAATATATTATGTCTTTAATAAATCTGAAGAAGAAAAAAAAGACGTAGAGGTGTTTCCATGTCAACGGTAAGCTATATGAGTATAGTTCTGTTTGTTATTTTAAATTATTTATTCATTCTTTTATTTCAACTAACCAATGACCGACTTACATCAAGTATCAATGCATGATGATAACAACCATGCAGGTGATTTACATGATCCATCTTGTTCATCTGTAAATACAGCTGAAAATGGTCCACCACGATTACCATCTCATATATTACAAATAATTGAACATGAACTTAATTCACCGAATCCTCCTTCACATGCCGATATTCAAGCTTTTCCAACAACAGCTTATTTTAATAAAACTGTAATACCAATTATCATTGAAGGTTTAGCAATTGTAGCAAAAGAAAGACCAAAAAAACCTATTGAATTTTTAGCTGCTTTTTTTATTAAAAATCGAGAACGATTTGGTGAAAGTATTTGACATAATAAATAAGTGAAATAAAGTAAAACGAAGTTTTATGTACAAAGTAATTTTTATGTTCAATAGCGTTGTCAGCGAGGATTTTTTATAGGATGAATATTGACTCGATGTTTTCGAAAATACTTACGAAACTTTTTCCATTCATTTCGAAAACAACCATTTGATAATGAAAATAAAATACTAAATGGTAAAAATAATGTCGAAAAATACGATAGAAAATTTAGATAAACTTCAATTTGCGGATCAATATCTAATGGTATATATTGAAGAATGTATAGAAGATAATAAAGCATTAATGGTGAATTAAATATCATAAATAATGATGATATTGAAAATAATTGTATGATCATTTTACGATATTGTTTCCATTGTACTACTCGTTTTAAACGAATATTTTTTATCCAAATTGTATGTATTAATAAAACTATACTAAATAATACAATTAATAAACATGGTAAAATTGAATTTATTGTTATATCAACTATTGTTGATAGATTATTATTGTAATAACATGGACATAGAGCACACCATGCTTGTGTATAATCATAAATAAATTGTTGTTCACAAGAAGGTATAAACAGAACTAATATATAATAGATCATTGGAAAAATAAGAAAAAATATAATTGAAATATAATGAAATAACCATTGTTTTATTTTAGTTGAAATATATTCATTATGAAATATACGAATATATCTTTCAAAATATAACCAAGCCGTGAGAATAATTGTTGTATTATACATAGCATGAGTAGCATACCACCAGACAATACATGTTACTAATGTTTGTGGCCAAACAGGATTCGAACGAAGAAAATTAAGATATAATGGAATGTCAATAAGTTGAATAAATAGACTAATTAAAAGTATTTTAATAATTACATGATTATTTAATGTTGATCGTCGAATTTGTTTAGTAAGTAAATGATAGAGAAGAAATAATGAACAAAATATTGAAGGAATATCTAAGATAGCAAGTGACCAAAATTGTATTGACTTCGATAGAGAAATTTCTGTATTGGATGAATTATTAGTTTCGTTTATTTCCATAATTTTCAAGTAGAGTAAAATTTAGTTCAACAAACTATCTTTTGTTCGTATTTTGAATGGCAAATGATGTTTGTTAATAACACTTTATTAACTTCATTTGAAGATATCTTTTTTTAATACTGAAGAGAAAATGTAGTACAAAAATACATTTTTTTTCCGCTAAAGGTCATATAATTTTAATAATAAATTTATTATATAAAAATCTTTATTTGGAGAATTTTCTACTCCTAGTAATAATGCATTATTATCATTGATGCGATAGAAAATAAGTGCCTTTAAATTTTTCTGCCATTATATTTCTCATTATAAAATTTACTTTTATTAAAATTCTTTACAAAGTCGTGTTTAAATGAGTTCAATAAACGAGAATTTTTTATTATAAATATATCGAAATGACGTTCTTTGCAGATTCCAACAGTTTATTCATTGCTTTAAAAATAAGACGATACAAATCAATTGACTTAAGCACAAGTTTTTACATATGACATGTACTTATTGAAGCAATTGGTATCTCTGCATTTTTCCTCGTTAAATTCATTTAGTTTATACTCATCAGAATGCAATTTAAGAAATCATTGAATTGAAGATATAGATTGAGGTTATATAAATAGTAATATTAATGGATATAATAGAACACACTGTTATATAAATAGAAAGTACAAAGTTTACATTTTCCATTTATCAGTATTCTATTCAAACAAAGGAACTTTGTGCGAGATTTTAAGTGCTCTATTTTTGCATCAAAAAACATGTTCTGTTAACCCTTTACGATCGACTGTCTTTTCAAAGCACAAACTAATATTTGATATAATGATTGTTCTAAAATATTATAACTCAATCCAAATATTTTTTCAGGCTGAGACAGCCCTATAGACTACTCACAAAAAATCAAAAAATTATTAACTAACTTTTAAAGAAAATAATTCATGTTAAACTAGATCTCGTAATGTCCTTTGGAAGAGACAGTCGGCCGTAAAGGGATATATGTCATTGTATTTTTACACTCTAAGAAGATATTTCAGCAGATATGAATAAATAATAATGTGAAATAGTTGATCCATATTTCCATTCATAATGAGAAATAAGACTTGAAAAAAAGGATTTCTCTCTAAATGAAAATATCCATATCGTATTGAATGCATATATTTTCACGTTTGTACCATTTCTCTTTGTATGAGATATCCATATGGTATCGATGTCGTGCAGTGGCGAATCCAGGATTTTGAAAACCTTGAATCTCAATTTCAGAGCATGGGACCCATATGAAACTTATAGAGGACGATATCAGACACAAATGGAAGGTTTTTACGAAAAAAAATTTCTTTTGAACTTTGCGGCAAAAATCTCGTTTTTAAAACCGCTTCCCTCCCTTCCATTTTTTTTGTGTCCAGCGGTAATTTAGTTTTAAGAGTTTCATCGTAGTTTACATCGAATTTCATCGACAGATATCAAATTCCATCTAAAAATATTCATTCGTTCGCGAGTTATAACGTTTTCAATTTTTTTAAGATATCCCAAAAAACGGAACAAAGTTTCAAAATGTCATAACTCGCGAACGGATGCATATTTTTAGATGAAATTCGATGTAGATTATGATGAAACTCTTAAAAATAAATTACCGCTAGACACAAAAAAAATGGAAGGGAGGGGGAGGTTATTTTAAAAACGAGATTTTTTTTCGTAAAAACCTTCCATTTGGGTCCCATGCTCTGAAATTGAGATATGACGGTTTTAAAAATCTAAGATTCGCCACTGATTCGCTGTTTCCATATCTTCACAAAGTGGAATAGTTTCCCGATCGGCTTCTCCGCTTGTCCACTGCTGATATGTCAGTATAAAATTGTATTATTAAGATTTATTATTTTAGAAGCTCATACAACATATAATCAGTTAAATGTCAAATAATTTGTAACTATATAGATATATGAGTAAATGATTGATTTCGATATCGTCTTCGTAGATTAATTATTTTCTTACGCCATTTTTTTCGCCAATATTGTTTTGGTAATGAAAAAAGTATTACAAATGGTAGAAATAAAACAGTAAAACTTTCTAAAAATAGAAAATATCGTACAATTTGAGGATTAATATTTAATGAAAAATTTCCACATATAATCATTAGATAATAAATTAATAATGGAAAATTAAATAAAACAAAAATTAATGAAATTAATAATAATTGTATTGTCATTTTACGATATTTTCTCCATTGAATTGGTCGACCAAGACGAACTCGTTTTTCCCATATAATCCGAAGAAGTAAAATTATACTGAATAAACCAATTAATAAACAGGGTACAATACCATTGATTAATATATCATATAAATTTAGAATTTTCGTATAATAATAACAAGGATAATAATGACATATATCTTCTGTATAATCAAATAAATATTTATCATTACAAGATGGTATTAAAAGTACGAGAAGATAGAATATGATTGGATATAATGTAAAAAATATCATAGGAAAATAATGAAATAACCATTGCTTTTGTTGAGTAGTAAACAATTGATGATGAAAAACAAGAAGATGTCTTTCAAAAGATGTCCAAGCTAGGAATATAACAATTGTTCCATAGATAGCATAATTAATATACCACCAAATAAAACATATGATTGGTTTTTGAGGCCAAACAAAACCCAAACGAAAATAATTTATATAAAGTGGCATGTCAATTAATTGAATAATGAGTATTAGGAAAAGAAGAATAATAATTGTATGATTATGTAATGCTCTTCGAAGATTTCGTTTAGTTAAAAACTGATAAATTAAAAAAATCGAACAAATTGTCGATGGAATTGTAATTATAAGTATTAAAATAAGTCGTATAAGTCGAGAATATGAAATTTTTTTATTAATTAATAAATCAGATAGAGAATTATTCTTTATATTCAAATCCATTTTAAATAGGATCAGAAAGAATATTGCATAAGCTGTGTAAAAAGAAAATGAATATATTTTTATATATGAAAAATATTGGGCATATTTTTTTGATCAAAAAGAATAAATAATATCTTGATTAAATATCCAAATAGATAGCATGATTATTAGAAAATATCGCATCTCGAGATAGTAAAGGTTCTGCGGTAAGAGAAACTTCATTAAAAATGTACAGTGCAAGACTACAAAACACAAAATAAGATTTCAAATTTCTTGAGTTCGACTACAAATCTTTGACCCAGTAATGAGACATATGTAGGTTTGTAGAGAAAATTTTTCTCTATCGAATTCTGTTGAGTACCGGAAAAATCGATTTCTGGCTTGAATTAGAGACTTGTATCGGAGTCAACTAAATCTCTTGCCTATAATTCATTTTTTACATTCAATTTTTTTTGAGGTGAAGGTTTTACTGAGGCTCACGGACACAAAAGGAAGTTGGATGCATGTCTCTAACTGGCTTGAATTCAAGCCAAAAATCGATGTCTCATTCCTGGGTCAAAGATTTGTAGTCGCCTTTCGTTTTACGTTTATTTTATATGAAAAAGAATATTTGTTTTAGGTTAAATTGTTAATGTACAATAGAGATGACAAAAATGTCGTTATGTACACAATTGTAAATCGGTATGAATTCGAATAAAGTAAAAATATCATAATTATAGATTTTGTCTATTTTTAGTAGATTCTATCTTTAGACATAAGCTCAATCTCAAAATTTTTTAATTATCTTTTAAGATATTCTAATGAATTATATGAATACTATAGATATATATATACATTATTATAATCTGCATAAAACAACCGAAAATGTTTACAATGATATTCAGTGATCAATAGATATATACACTAATATATTGTTATGGTATCATGGGAATAAAATAGAATAATTTTATTCAGTTAAACCTATTATAATGTAATAAAACAAAATAAAAGCTCACATGAAATAGACAATAATACAAAAACTATTAATGCTAGTAAACAGTACGCAATTTTATTATTAAATAAAGAGTTCTAAATATCATTTATGATATATTTTACGTTGGCAATATATTATTAGATCCATCACATCTGTTTAATACAAACTCTATTAGAAAATCATGCAATGGAATTCATGATTATATAAGATAATTAATTTTATACGTATACATATTCATTTATTTCCGTTTTAAATTAAAATGTTCTAGACGTTTATATGGTTTAGCATAAGAAAAAATAGAATATTGTTTAAAGGCAAGCACAACATGTTCATCAGCGTAAATCCGGGATTATTGTGTAGCATTTATTTAGAAAATGTCCTTGGAATAGTATGCAAAGTATTAAAAAATGATAAAAACAAAGTACAAAAGTCAGGATATATTATAAAATCTAATAAAGGTTTCTCATCAGATGTTAAATGAAAATATAAAAAGAATCTTTTCATAATCTTTAAAAGACTTTTATAAAACAAGAACATTTGCCTTAAGGAAAAGAAATGAGAATTTTTATTCTTTCCAAAGAAAAAAATCATGCTTATAATGTTGAAAACATTTTAAAAATAGAACAAATATTAATTGATAGCCATGACGAAACCTATTCAATAGGTAGAAAATGTAAGATATTGCACTTTCTTTTTAAGTTCACCTTTTTCAACCTTGGTAACACATTTTTTTTTAAATAGAAAAATATTTACAGTTTCAAATAAATGAAGGATATAATTTGCTTAAGTGATATATAAATTGAATGATGGGCGTACACATATGTTACTCATATCAGACAATATATTTAATGAAATATTCCCAAATGACACTCAATACTAACATGAAGCAGATGTTATTTTGCTTTATTCTTTTTATCAATAGATATCATGCCGATTTTGAATATTATACATCATGCTGAGTATATCATTGACTCTATTCAATAAGTGCATTGTAATAATCTTTGAGAACATTTATTAGCTAATAAAAGACATTTGAACTTCCTGTTTAGAAAAATACTATTCACTGGAGAATATAATAAATAGAAATAAGATTAATTTTATCAACAGACGTAAACTTATTTAAAAAAAATTACAATACAAAAAATGTATTAGAAATATAAATTAACAGTTCTTGTAATGGATTTCAAGTAGATAGACGGAAAACATTATTCTATTTAAGTGACAAAAAAATGTACTTTTTCAAGTTTCATACCTTTGCTTTTTTTAGAAAATTGAATACTATTATCTATTGCGTTAATAAATTCTTCACTGATGTATATAATTAATATTATTAAAAAAAAATGTTCTCTATTTTCATTAACAAGGATTAATATTTTGTTCTTTGATATAACTCATTTTCTCAAAAAAAGAATCTTAGACTATAAATATAATATAAAAATTCTTTGTTTTATTCATGTCTAGTTCCGTTGAAGACCTTGATAATTAGTAATAGCAATGATATTAAACCGTAAACATCATTTAGACTCGATCCAAAATAACACAATATAATGTCTAATCCGTCCTTCCTTATGGAAGGAAATAGACGAAAAGTAATTTTTTGACATTAAGAACTGTTACTATACATAGTAACTTCTAGGCATAACAGATTCATGGATTATTATAAGCAATAATGTCAAACATGGAGGAATTCTAAAAAAACTCAACTCTGATTTCCTTTTTGTTTTTTACTATAGAAATATGTAATTTCATATAGGTGATCCTTTTGTTCTTTTATAACCTTTGCTTTTCTTTTTCTTTTTTTTTATTGTTCTTTGAGTCTATAATAGTAATCATTGTTCTTTTTATATTTATATATATGCTTGTGTGAAATAATATCGTTTGCTCGATGTTGAATTCAATTGTTAACTGAACATTAGTGAATAGATTGAACCCGTAAGGAAAGAAAGAAGGAAAGAAATACAACAGTCTTCTTCTTGTGCCTTATGAAATACATTATTGATATTCGCGCAAAAACATGACCTTACTAGTGACCGATAGAGGATGACCGCTCACGCACACATTATGTACAAACTTATCGAACAAGCAAGAAAAAAAGAACGAATATACTCGTATGATTACATTGCGTCCGGTTGACCTTGGCCATAGGGTGATTTATGAAAGAAGAGAGAGAGAGAGAGAGCGAAAGAGAGAAGAAGAAAAAAATCTTCATATTGTACCATCGGTCACTATTCAAGGTCATCAAACTTATTAGCTATTTACATCTGCACATGTTACTCTAACAATATAAATAACAACAACAACAGCGGCAGCCAATTTTTAACGTATACAATAATTGTTTTTTCTTCACATGAT